GGATTTGAAATGAAACGAACAAGATGTGCTTTAACTGCAGACTGTCAGCTTTAATTTGAGGGCATTTACATCCAAATCAGGTGAACGGTGTAGGAATTACAATAGTTTGCATATGTGCCTCCCACTTGTTGAAGCCAAAAGTACCAAAAGTAATGGGACAATTGGCTTCTCAGCTGTTCCATGGCCAGGTGTGTGTTATTCCCTCATTATCCCAATTACAATGAGCAGATAAAAGGTCCAGAGTTCATTTCAAGTGTGCTATTTGCATTAGGAATCTGTTGCTGTCAACTCTCAAGATGAGATCCAAACAGCTGTCACTATCAGTGAAGCAAGCCATCATTAGGCTGAAAAAACAAAACAAGCCCATCAAAGAGAGAGCAAAAAACATTAGGCGTGGCCAAAACAACTGTTTGGAACATTCTTAAAAAGAAGGAACGCACCGGTGAGCTCAGCAACACCAAAAGACCCGGAAGACCACGGAAAACAACTGTGGTGGATGACCGAAGAATTCTTTCCCTGGTGAAGAAAACACCCTTCACAACAGTTGGCCAGATCAAGAACACTCTCCAGGAGGTAGGTGTATGTGTGTCAAAGTCAACAATCAAGAGAAGACTTCACCAGAGTGAATACAGAGGGTTCACCACAGGATGTAAACCATTGGTGAGCCTCAAAAACAGGAAGGCCAGATTAGAGTTTGCCAAATGACATCTAAAAAAGCCTTCACAGTTCTGGAACAACATCCTATGGACAGATGAGACCAAGATCAACTTGTACCAGAGTGATGGGAAGAGAAGAGAATGGAGAAGGAAAGGAACTGCTCATGATCCTAAGCATACCACCTCATCAGTGAAGCATGGTGGTGGTAGTGTCATGGCGTGGGCATGTATGGCTGCCAATGGAACTGCTTCTCTTGTATTTATTGATGATGTGACTGCTGACAAAAGCAGCAGGATGAATTCTGAAGTGTTTCGGGAATATTATCTGCTCATATTCAGCCAAATGCTTCACAACTCATTGGACGCCGGTTCACAGTGCAGATGGACAATGACCCAAAGCTTACTGCAAAAGCAACCAAAGAGTTTTTAAGGGAAAGAAGTGGAATGTTCTGCAATGGCCAAGTCAATCACCTGACCTGAATCCGATTGAGCATGCATTTCACTTGCTGAAGACAAAACTGAAGGGAAAATGCCCCAAGAACAAGCAGGAACTGAAGACAGTTGCAGTAGAGGCCTGGCAGAGCATCACCAGGGATGAAACCCAACGCGTCTGGTGATGTCTATGCGTTCCAGACTTCAGGCTGTAATTGACTGCAAAGGATTTGCAACCAAGTATTAAAAAGTGAAAGTTTGATTTATGATTATTATTCTGTCCCATTACTTTTGGTCCCTTAACAAGTGGGAGGCACATATGCAAACTGTTGTAATTCCTACACCATTCACCTGATTTGGATGTAAATACCCTCAAATTAAAGCTGACAGTCTGCAGTTAAAGCACATCTTGTTTGTTGCATTTCAAATCCATTGTGGTGGTGTATAGAGCCAAAAATGTTAGAATTGTGTCGATGTCCCAATATTTATGGACCTGACTGTAGTATATATAATGCAATGCAATTCAAATCTGACAATCCAGAACTAGTATTGTAGTTTCTGCTACCTGCTAAAAAAACTTTAAATCGTGGATGTCAGGAGCTCAAGCTGAAACTAGCACACAGAACAATAACTCGTCCCCCCTACCTATCCTGACTAAAGCAGACCACTTCTGCTGTTCTCTCTCTGTATTAAATTTTTTTTTGTAAAAACAAAAATTGTATTGACATATCTAAAATATTAGTTTAAAAACCCATATGCCTACATTTCCAGTGAAACTGACCCCAAAACACCATAGTTTACCTTTAACTCTAGCTCCCTAAACCAATCCTGAACCCTTCCAATCTTTGTAATCTAGCGGAAACCTTAAAAAACTCTGGAATAATATATTGATATCAGTATTCAGTGCCACAAAACACTTTTTGATTGGTGTTCAAGGGCTAAAAACACTACAGTGCTGCAGAACATATAGAATATGGGGCTCACATTGGCATCAGGAGGAGAATAATGCCCCTTGTATTGATGTCAATGACAAAATATTGCCCCTCGCATTGGCATCAGTTAGAGTAGCATGCCCCTAGTAGTCATTAAAAGTAATGTATGTGCCTTACACTGGTGCTAGTGAGTGCCACCAACAACAATGTAAATTGGGCATTCCCTATTCCAACTGAAGCCAATGTACCATATTTTTTGCTCCATAAGATGCACTTTCCCCCCCAAAAAAAGGGGGGAAATTTCTGTGCGTCTTATGGAGCGAATATTGACCAGGCCTCCCCCCATCACCGTGTTAGAATACCGGGCCTGCTACTCGGCTTTTCTGTGGCAGAAGAGAGGAAGAGTCCGAGTCAGCTGTGAAGCAGCACCAGGCAGGGTCCAAAGCAGCTGCCCCTTAAACCCGCACCACCCTTAGAAGATTGGGGCCCCGATCACTGCACTGCAGAGCCAACAGGGTACACTGAAGACATCGTTGTATCCCCAGCCAGCAGGGAGGGGGCGGAGCCAGGTCCCGGAGCTCCACTGACCCTTCCCCATGCAAATTGTGTGCTCAGGAGGGAACTGCTAGTAGAAGCTGAGATCAGTCTCTGGTCATCTCTTGAACTATGTCCGCAGTCTCTGGTCATCTCCTGTACTATGTCCGCAGTCTCTGGTCATCTTCTGTACTATGTCTGCAGTCTCTGCTCATCTCCTGTAATATGTCCGCTCTCTGGTCATCTCCTGTACTATGTCTGCAGTCTCTGCTCATCTCCTGTACTATGTCTGCAGTTCATTGGTTCAGAATATGTTTTTTCTTGTTTTCCTTCTCTAAAATCTAGGTGCATCTTATGGAGTGAAAAATACAGTAAATTGCTCCCATTAACACCAGAATAAGGTGTACACTACTAAGGGCCTGCCTACACTTTTATTACCCTCCTAAAAAGCATTCCACTGTGGTTTGCTTCTCAGATGGCAGTTGGCAGCAGCTTGGAGGCGATATGTTGCCTCCTGGACATCTGTTTTAACTCTTGAAAGCCTGCAGCACCACACCATAATGTGTGCATTACACTTCGTTCACTACAGTCAGTGACGGTACTGCCATTTGAACACAATATGTGTTATTATTTTTGCAAGAACTTCAAAACAAAGCATACTGTATATGGCATGTGTACCACCCCCTACGGCTGCCATGCTAGGTTAAGGTAGACAGTTGGGGTGGGCAGTAAAACTGCAGCTGTCAAAAATCCGGATATGACCAGAGATGTGTGGACTGAAACAGAGAACATCAGGCTTCAGGAGTGATGTGGATAATATAATTTATTGTGAGTTACACCATTATACAAAACACACAGTGCAAACAAAAACCAAAACCTTCACCCAATATATATATGTGAGGAAATAAAAGCGTAGTCAGGGCTGAAGAGGTAGAATAGTCAGGCAGGCCATGTCAGGATCATTTGGGCATATCAGGTACAGAGGAGTAGGCAAATGGATAGTCAAAGGTAGAACTGGGTCAGTGCAGGCAGAGTTCAGTCATAGTCAGAATCAAGCAGGTAGCTCACAGGAGACAGGATACAGATTCAGGACAACAAAGGCTCATGGGCAACAACACCAAGGCACTAATTGCAGGCCTGGTTACTGTTTAAGTACACCTCCTGTAATCAGCCTCAGGTGATGGCTTGATTGCAGGAAGTGAGATCCTGGCTGCTTAAAGGCACCTGCTGGTAAGTCCCAGTACTGCAGCCCATAGAACAGGTGAGCCACAGCACCACCAGCAGTGAGCCCCTTCCTGACAGCAGCTTAACCACATATTTTTACTACTCCCCAGCAACAAGTGCAGACGAGGTCTAGGGGTGCCAGTGGGAATATAATGCCTTACATTTTAGAGCCAAAATAATGTCCCAGCATTGCTATTTGTTTATTTATTGCAGGTACTTATATACAGCCATCAATTTACTTAGCACTTTACATATTTATTATACATCCATGTCAGTCCCTGCCCTTGAGGAGTTTACCACCAGACAGTGCTGGCAAAGAAAGAGGCTGGGATTAAGAAGAAGTTGTGGTGGCAGTAATGGGGGAGGTTTTGATGCCACCTGCTGTTGCCCTAATCTGCCACCAGAGTGCAGGTTTTCAATTTATGAAAGCTGCAAACTGCACAGGGATGGGCAGGGTTCTCCCTGTCTTCAAATAATAGAGTTGGAACTTGTTGTTTGGTATAAACACTCAGCCTTGCATTATCCAAAGGCAGGGGGAGTCTTGCATGTTTCCTTGTTCCAAGAGGTACCAGGTATTCTTTGGTTTTCCAGCAGTAGAAATATTTTGTGATTGGCATAAAATAAAAGTATTTGTTAAAGGAATCCTGGAAAGACAGAAATATTGAAACTGTCACTGATGACCTATTTTTAAAGGTACAAGTTCCACATCTGTTATGCTCATCCTTGCTTCACTACCAAGTGTGTCAATGACCCAGAACAAGTATCAGTGAATATTTTGTCAGTGAAGTCCTGATATAAAAGCTTGTTCTGGGTCAGAGACTTATCCAGTAGTGAAACAAGAGTAAATATGACAGCCCTGGAATTTGAACCATAGAAAAAGGTTAGTAGTGGTTCCTCCAACATTTATGTTCTCAGCAACTGTGTTTAAAGTGTTACTAAACCCACAACAGTAAAATCAGTCTGTATATGCAGTAAAGCATGCTTGTTATACTCACTGTGGAACCTAAGGGGTTAATCCTCTGCATTGTGTAAAAAGAATGTTTTATCCCATCTTCTCTTTTCCTCCCCTTCTTCCACAGTCCCCAATCCATTTGCTGATAGAACAGAGCCTTGGGGGCAAGTTGCATATGCTCACTTTGCTGTGTATTGCTAGAGAGTTTTTTTTCCCCTAGGAGAGTGCATGCGATCAGCACAGGGCCAATCAGAACTGTCCAGACAGAGGTCAGGGTTCCTGCAGTCTCATAGGGCAGTGAGAGGAGAAAAAAAACTCCACCTACAAGCTTTAACCAGTGCTCTGCTGGACACTGATATAAGTTACAACACTGCTCTAGCTGCTCATAAGAAAATATATTTAGCAATTTATATTTACGAGAATAACTGCATTTCCATGTTCTGTGTACTGTGGGAGACCAGATATAGTGAATGCAGGTTCCTGGGTTTAGTAACACTTTAAAGTGTTACTAAACCCACAACAGTACAATCAGTCTGTATATGCAGTAAAGCATGCTTGTTATACTCACTGTGGAACCTAAGTGGTTAATCCTCTGCATTGTGTAAAAAAGGCTATTTGATCTTGACTTCTCTGCCTCTCCTCTTGTACAAATGTCCATGCTGATAAGACAGACTGAACCCGTAGCCCTTCTGCACATGCTCAGTTTGGTGTGTATTGCTAGAGAGGTTTTTTTTTTTTTTTTTATCCTGGGAGAGTGCATATGATCAGCACAGGGCCAATCAGCACTGTACAGATAGATCAGGGGTCTGCATCCCCCTAGAGCAAAAGAAAACTCCTCCTACAAACAAACTTTAACCAGTTCCCTGCTGAAGTCACTATCTACTAAATTAATTGCACTTCCATGTTGTGTGTACTGTTGGAGACCAGATATAGTGAATGAAGGGTCATTGGTTTAGTAACACTTTAAATACAAATGTGACTAACCATGTTTAAGGCCTATAGAGCTGGTGCACAGTCTAGACTAAGTATACACACATTATAAAGGTAGCCACTTTAATATTATATATCCCAAGGAAGCCATTGCTATGGGGGCTCCCTGTGACCAAATGCCTCAGCTCTAGTTGAACATGAATACTCCCCCTTAGCTTAGATTGCAAAATCTTTAACAGAAGGACTCTAGAGTAGCGGCATCTTTGTAACGAGAGGAACGTTCAACCTGATTTATTGCCAAGCACATGTATACCAGGGTGGCAAGATCAGAATGGGTTGAGTTGTCAGACAAAATAATGTCCTCATTAAATCTTGTTTTTTTCCTTGTAACATAACAATAAAATCTTAACAAGTTAATTTTTGTCTTGCAGCTAGAACAGATCCAGAAGCATTCGTGGTATTTGTAAGTAGCAAAGTTATCATTTTTAAAGTCATTCGTTATGTTATATACTTGCTATAGACAGATCTATAGTGTGGCCAAAAGTCCTGATATTCAGTAGTTTCCACATGAGCAGAGAGCATCTTACTGAGAGTCATGAATGACTATCACTGGCCTCTAACATTCATATACAGTATTAGAAATGTGTCCAATGTTCTGGGAGAACTGTTATGTTTGATTTGGTCTGTCCTTTACACTTTCAGAAAATCAATTTGCATGTATACTCATTTACTTTACATCCTCAAATATATTTGGAGAAAAGGCTTGAAACTAAATTATATTTTCCCAAAAAAATTGATCCATCAATACGCACATGTAAGGGAGGATGCCAGGCTGGGGTAACAAGATGACATCTGTGCAGAACAGCATGCATCCAGGGGTGATCATCTGTCCGTAACTGCAGGTAATCACACCATGTACAATTACATGTAAACACCTGTGGACAGTGGCAGCCAATTTCAGCCTGTCATTGCCTTGTACAGGCTGAGCAGATGTAATTGCTCCCTACTGCATGTGAGTTTAAAATGTTCGGACTCTTGTAACAGCCAATCAGATTTAAACCTGCAGTGGCAAAATAACAGTTGAAGTATGAATCTGATTGGGTCTTATGGAGTTATCCAGACTTGCAGAGATAGGCCTTTCCTATGACACCACCCAGTTCTCCAGTTCACCACACGTCACACTGACTGTACAATTTCCTTTAGATCAGGGGTGTCAAACTAGTGGCCCTCCAGCTGTTGCAAAACTACAAGTCCCATCATGCTTCTGCCTTTGGGAGCCATGCTTGTAACTGTCAATCTTGCAATGCCTTATGGAACTTGTAGTTTCGAACAGCTGGAGGGCCACCAGTTTCACACCCATTCTTTAGATCCACCAACAAGGGCCTACCTAACAGGATGCATATGAACTGGATAGGTATTTGATAGATCATCATATAACATAGTTTTTGTAAATCCAAAGACGATTGTATAAACATTTTAGTCAGATTGCAATGTGTATGGTGAGGACAAGGCTAATTTTATTATGCAGAATACATCATAGTTGTAAATCATCCAGTAAATCTTGCCAAGACTCTGGGAGGGAACACCTTTTATTGTAAATCAAGTCATTTTCTAAAAATGAATAAGTTCCATCTTGGAGTTTATATGGAGGAATAGAGGCTGCTAGCGCAAGTAACAACTGAGTGCCAGAAATAGTCCTGATCATTATAATGGTTTAATCTAATAATCTATGATGGGAAAAACAAATATTAAAAAATATTAAAAGCTGTTTCCTAAAGCAGCCTTTTATTATACAGTATAGACACGGTGGTTACACAGCATTAAACTAATTAGATAATAGTAATTTAGAAAGTAAATGCTTAATTAAGTCCATACGTCCCCTTGGCACCCTGACACTGGCAATTTTAGGGGTTTGGCACTATGGATTCTCAGGAGACCATGATAAATTGTGGCCAAGCAAACAGCTGCCTAACCTCAGCCATGTTAACCTTTTCAGTGCTGTACATAAAAATGGTCTTTTTACAGTGCAGATGTTTAAAAGTAGATGTAAACCCATTAAACCTCACTAAAATCTCATACACAGTAAAGTTTTAACATGATAATGTTATTTCAAAAATAATTTTCAATATATTTAAATCAGTATCTTTCATTACAGTGATATCTGATGGTCCTCACATTAATGCCCTTGTTAAGGATTTTCCTGTTATAGGGTGGCAACACTCTGTCTAGGTCTCCCAATTGTGCTTCAGCTTTGTCCCCCTGCCATACAGATTTCCAATGGAGACAGGAAGCAGCTGTTGCAAAACACATTACTTAGGCATGGTCCACTATTGTCAAAATCAGAAAAAAAAGAAACCTTTATCTTTGATGAAGCCTGGTATGGATGTCAAGGGGGACACTATGCGCCCTCCCAAAAAAAATTCATACTGGACCCTTATTCAAGCATGCAGCCTGGCAGACCAAAAAAAGGAGTCCTCCTTCTCCTCCTCCTGAACCATACCAGGCCACATGACCTCAAAATGGGGGGGGGTTACCTTGCCTGGGAAGACCCATGGAAAAGCACCTTGCCCGAATGTTGATGAGGACAAGGGCCTCTTCACCACAAACCTAGGCTTCTACTGGTTCGCACAAAAGAAAAGTAAACAGTAAATACACTTACATGACACCCACTGAAAGAAAAAAAAATTATACCGACGGACATGTCCGATCTCACTGCTAACTCACGGACATGACATCTTCCTGGGCCTTGATGCTAAAAGAAAGCAAAGGAACAGGGTCTCCATGGTGACATCATTGACCAAATATGCCAATGTGGCCATATTTGGTCAATGATGTCAAACAATCATCACCCTTTTTTTAATGGCCAGATATTCCCAGCCAGTAAATAAAAGCAGTTGGGTGAGGTCAATGGCTACTACAGACATAGTGGGAGTCGGCACCAGCTGCTTCCTTAGCAACCACTGTCAGATAAAAAAGCTGTCATATATAACATAGTAGCGATAGAAATAATGCTACTATACTGTATATAATGTTCTACATCCTCAACACAGGCTAAAAGTCCAGCGTTTAGACAAACACCTGAACCTTGAGCTCATGCCTACTGCTAACAGTAACCCATTCTGATTTTATGTATTTGCACAAATAAATATTTAACATGGTTTATGACATAAACAAAGAAACCAGGGCTGCCAACCACACATTGACTACATTTGAGTATCAGTCATGCTTAAAAATATTACAAAAATCAAAAAGAATATTTGGTGGAATCTTACCAAACACTTGGTGCTCTCTTGAATAGAGTGTGATGCTGCCCTAAAGTGTGATATTGCCTTGTCACACAAAGTAGTCACCTGTTAATATTTGAAGCCATTGCTAAAGTCTTATATGATAGATCATACACAGTTCAGCAAAATTCACAGCTCACTAAAATCTATTTTGACTGTGTACATATATAATGTAATGTAAATTGTATCTTTTATTGTTAAAACATGTTTTGGAATATAAGAGATCATTAACCATGTTAATGAAATGGGATTTAACACAGAATGTGTAAATACATTTTAATTTAATTAATGCAGAATAACACAGCATCCCCAGAGAAAGCCAGTAAGAGGATTTCCATCTTCTTTATGTTTTCTATAATCATTATCTTATGTCCATATTACTTTTTACTTTGTATTACACAGCGTAAAAGATTTTAGAAGTAATTATTAGCAAAGCATTTCCATAAACCTCAGAATGTATTATTCCAGAGCAGGGACTAAAGTAAATCTATTCCTGTATCACAAAGGTCACACTCCATTCCCAAACTAACAAACTTTACAGTTATTATACACTCACCAGCCACAGTATTACATACACCTTGCTAGTACTGGGTTGGACCCCTTTTGCCTTCAGAACTGCCTTAATTCTTCGTGGCATAGATTCAAAAAGGTGTTGGAAACATTCCTCAGATATTTTGGTCCATATTGACATGACAGCATCATGCAGTTGCTGCAGATTTGTCGGCTGTACATCCATGATAGGAATCTCCCGTTCCACCACATCCCAATAGTGCTCTATTGGATTGAGATCTGGTGACTGTGGAGACCATTGGAATACAGTGAACTCATTGTCATGTTCAAGAAACCAGTTTGAGATGATTTGAGCTTTATGACATGGTGCATTATCCTGCTGGAAGTAGCCATCGGAAGATGGGTACACTGTAGTCATAAAGGGATGGACATGGCCAGCAACAATACTTAGGTAGGCCGTGGCATTTAAAAGATGCTCAATTGGTATCAAGGGGCCCAAAGTGTGCCAAGAAATTATCCCCCACACCATTACACCACCACCACCAGCCTGAACTGTTGATACAAGGCAGGATGGATCCATGCTTTCATATTGTTTATGCCAAATTCTGACCCTACCATCTGAATGTTGCAGCTGAAATTGAGACTCTTCAGACCAGGCAATGTTTTTCCAATCTTCTATTGTTCAATTGTGGAGAGAGCCTGGGAGAATTGTAGCCTCCATTGTCTGCTCTTAGCTGACAGAAGTGGCACCC